GTGAAATAACAAGGACCAAACTGGCTTGAGAGGAGGGAAATGTTTTCAGTTTTCTACTTTGAGCAGCTTGGTTTCTTTCTCTCATTCAAAAGATCTGTTTCCTCAAGCCGTGCCGGGCACGGCTGCATGATGGAGGGCCCTGCATCTCCCCAATTTAAAGGCCTGAACTAATGAGATGCCGAATCACTCCTGTTACTGAGATCAGTAGTTGATGGGAATTGCGGATGTTTGGCATTCATAGGAATTGCTGAATACCTTGCTCTATTGGGCCCTGGGTATCACCAGGTTCATAAAACAAGGGTTGCTTTTTTGTTTAAGGCTAAAGAGCACGCAGTATAATTTTGAAGTAAATCAGGCACTGATTTTTGCTGCTGCTTCTTCTTATGGAGAAATCCTATTAAAATAGTTTCTTACTCCTCAAATAGTTCCTCATGCTTTCTGCCCTGTTTCAAATTCCTTGATAGACGTCTCGGCTAAGGGATTTGGATAACTTTTTCTCCCAAGAAAGCTTTTGTTAGAACTGTACAAAAAGGTAGTACTTTTTCCCAAGAAAACTTGTGTCAGAGCTGTACAAAGAGGTAGCGCTTTCTCATTAGTGGCTGATGTGATTTTAGCACTGAACAGATAAAGTGAGCAGATGTCATCTGTTCTTCGAATTTTAGCTGTGGTTTTGTGCATGAAATGCTGTTGACTAGAATAATTTTCATCCTGTGCTTCCTGGCTGATTCTGGCAAAGCATACCCTATGTAGTGCGTTAGAGTGAAAGATGCAAATATTTCTGTTAGCAGAAGCATGTTAAATTTCTTGCGTGGTATTGGCATAATGAGCTGACATGAAGCAGGCAGACACTGGACCAGCGAAAGTAGTCGGCTTGTGAAAAGATGGGAACAATTTCAGCTGTATAAACTGATATCTCCTTGAATTCACCCAGGAATATCCATCAAGTTTAGCACTTTTCTGCTGTGTATTTAATGGCTGTTTAGGTTAGGCTAGGGTTCTTCAAAGGGGCTGATGAGGGCGAGTTTGAATTTACATCTCCTTTGCATCTTATAGGTGTTTGAATTAATCTAGGAGAAAATGATCAGCGTCTTTCTAGATCAAGATGAGTTAACAAAATTGATTACAAAAAATTGATTTATTCATAGTGAGTATGGTTAAATACCTGACATCACACTCATTTCGACAGATCATTCTTGCCAAAGGTTTGGTAACAGTAACTCTTGGAGACTTAGAAATTAATCTGTTTCCATTTTAAATGTCAATGCATATCAAGTGGGTATGAAATAAACCCATGGCTGTAGCTGCTGTGCTGTTAAGAGGTTATTCATAGCTACATTGTAAACATATCTCCTTAAACAAAAGATTTGAAAGGAAATTTGTAAATAAAATACTACTGCTATGTTTATGGATCGACACAGAAAGTGTTGAGGCCCTTTGTACGATTTTTAATTCCATCAGCATGGAAAATGTTTGGTTTCTGAGGAAGCCACGTTGTGCGAGTTGAAGCTTGAGATGTGGCCGGCGAATTTAACATAAACTACACTTGGCATGCGAGGAGTATCAAAAGCGATGCGTAAACTGAATTTAACCTTCCCAAATTCAAAACTCTGTAATTCGGAAAGAAATGGTGCTTCTGGAGATTTCTACGTAGATCTTTGACAACCAAAGCCTATCTTGCCAGTTCTCCAGTTTTTCTGGAGAGCTGTTCAGAGACTTTAGATGTGTAAAACATAGTTTCGAGACAATGTGCAGCCAAAGTACTGGTGACTGTGTAAAGGACACACACTTCCTAATTATTTCTCCCCCTCCCCAAGATTTCCTTATTTATTCAGTTCTAATCTAATCAGTCTTGAATTCTGCCTGTCGTGGCTGGGATTTTGCATCCCGCTCTACATGCCATTCCACTCCCCTTGAGGTGCAAATTGGTTTTGGTCCTCTGAGAATGAAATATTAACTGGCCATTCAATACCCATTCTGTTTTGTCAGGCTAAAGTAGAACTATTTCTCATATTTAAGCTGAAAGGCACGTAAGCCTTAAAGCTGGCAGCCTGTAGGCTCAGGATAACACCAGGGCAAATGGGAGATGTTGCTTAATACCCAGGTTAAGTGTACGATAACTCCGATGCTTTCAGCTTCCATCAAGGGAAGGAGGGGACGTTGCTCCGGAGCACCTCCTGCCACATGTTTGCAGTGGCAGAAATGGGCTGTGGATCAGCGGCTGGTGCAGGGGCTCGGGGAGGGAAATGGACACTGGGGAGGAAGGATGCATGGCAATGACCTTCCAACCTGGCGCAGGACAGCCTATTTCCTGAGCTGCTGACTCAAGGGTACAGCAAGCCCTCCCCATGTGTGTCCTTGGTTGGGATTGGGCAAGAGAGAGGGAAACACTCTGGTCAGGCACCTCGAATTTTCTAGGCAACGTGCAAAACTTGTAACCTGACATGAGGTTTTTGGTGTTAGTCTGGGAACGTGTTGCTGGCTCTCAATCAAGCATAGCTTGACTACAGAAAAGGAAGGAAGAGCGTGAAGGTTTTCGGTGTTGGTGGGTTTTGTTTGTGGTTTGCTTTCTTTTCCTGTTGGCAAGGACTATCTTTATGGTGGATGCCTTCGGAATATCTTAGGTGAAATAAGCAGGAGTTCTTTCAGTTGTCTTTCAATTAGTTTAGATCACTTTCAAATGAACACCACTGGCCTGAAAGGTCAAACTCGGCCCTGGCTTATTCTGTGCCAGTGTCACCTTTATAAAAGCCCTGGTGGTGGTCACCCCTTTCCACCCACTGAGGACTTGGCCAGTTCTTTACAAAAACAACCGTTCTGATATACCTCAAGTTTTTATTTTTTTCAGTGATGTCTAATTGCAAGGCCTGATTCTCCTCTTGAAAAACTCCATTTGCATCAGTTGGGATAAAGCAGGAGACAGTCTTTTGCATGCTGCCAAGCAGGGCCTGACCCTACCCCTGACACATAACAGGATTTTGGTATCCCTGGATTTCAGGGGCGTTGCTTGCAGGGTGGGATGCTCCTTGGTGTGCAGATGGCAGAATTGGGCCCCTGCAACAGAAATCATTGTTATTGTATTATTATCATCATGAGGTATCCAAACTTAACTCGCTTAATGCACTTTTTGATAAGAAAAGATCTCTGAAGACAGTGACCTGCTAACAGCATCAAGCTTTGGATTTCGCATCTGAATTCATGATATCTCTTGGTTTTAATATATTTTTTATAATTCTTTGCTCTCCTGTATGCAAAGAACCAGTAATGTAAACCAACATCATGTCCCTTGCATAACTCTCTCTGACACCAAATCTCTGAAAATTCTTTCAGTACATCCAAAATACATGAGCAAAGGCTGCAAAATAAACATAATATTTCTAAGTATTTAATGCTTTTTTTTTCGCTTTTCTTTTTTTTTTTTTTTTTTTTATCCTGGTTGCGAACTAAGCATTGACTACTGTCTTGATTTTACAGATTATTTCATGCTGAAATTATGCCTATTTGCATGGATAGTCATTCTTTAAAACTAGCCACAGATGCAGTCCTAGGGAGCACGTAGATGTTTTTACAGGTGAACCGAAAGAGATGGGAGCAATTCCAAAAAGTCTGCATGCTGCCTTTGGCAATATACCCTGTTATTGTGAAGACTGTGCTCTGTTAAGCAAATGTAAAGTTTAATATTAGATAAGCGTTGCATGAAAAATATTTTAATTTTCCTCGGCGTTAAAATTTAAGAAACAGGAAACAGTGTCTAATGCTTTATGTGCAATGTGAGTTTAGCATCACTGGTTAATAAGTCACAAATTATGTCAAGAGCCTTTTACAAAATGCAAGGAAGTGTGTTATCTTTTTATGCTGTGTTCCTGGGAAACAATGAGAGTTCATATAAAGAGAAGGTATCTTCCTTTCTCACGCAGCTGATTGATGTTATTTCTTTCATCTTTCCATATTTTTTCTCATCTTTTCTGCATGTCACAGGAAATAAGATTCTGTGTATTCAAAATGCTACATGTAAGAAGGGCTTCACTGGGCATTTGAGATATTGTTCTTGGAGATTTTTCTAAAGCACAGAGATGTGACACCGAACATGCCTCATTTCTGCTATGCAAAAAATTTAACATCATGTATTTTAGTGTATGAAATACAGGATCTTCAGCCTTTGGTAGCGGGGCTTGCTTGGAGAATGTAAGTTGTGAAAAGGGAAGGAATGTATGGGGAATTCAAAACACTGTTGTGGCTCATCAGTGGTACGTACGAGCCTGTGCTAACGAACTACATTTTGGCCTTTACTTGATCACATCTCTGTAAACAGTATAATACTGATCATAAAATATTTTAATGCATTTTTGCTTTGCTGAATAAATGTTTCCCTAATGATTGAAGAGAAGGCTTTTTTTTCCCCCACTGTAAGCCTGAATGCATCTATGATTTCTTTGCCTTTCACATACACATATACCATCCTCCCTACAATTATTTGAAAGTTTTTTTTGTAGCCTTCGGAGGTTTATTTACCAGTTTTACCTCTCTTTAAAAAGCAAAACTACAACTGCATTTTTTACATTGCAATTGATTTTTTTTAATCCAAATTCTATACAATTTCTCATTTTAACAATAAATCTTAAATAAGGAATACTTTCATCTTCTTTTGTAACATGTATCTCAATGCCCTAAATTTAATCAATTGGTTGTCAGAGGCTGTGTTCTTCTAATCTACTCTTTCTTCTGAAGATAAACAGTATCATTTTAGGCATTTGTGCAAGAGAATCATATTACTGGTGCTTAAGCAGTTTTTGCTTTTTTAAATCTTAATCCATCTTAAACCAGTGGAGCAGAAATATTTAAAAATGTTTCATTTCAAGCAGAGTGCATAATAAATTGCAATAATTGTAATGTGCCATAAATCCCAGAGCCTATGCATTTTGCATTTTATTCAGGATTGAGGTCAGGAAATTTGGAGAAATTTAAAGAAAATGATTCATCAGTCCTTTTGTTCTGTTGGCCAGGGTCCCAGGATTCTTGAGCTGAGCCCAGCTGACAAGCTTTTGAAGATGGCACAATAACAGTCCAGTGATGCCTGACCATGACAGCACAGCCCTCTTAAGCAGGCAAACCAAGAGAAGAAGAGTTGACATTGGAGTGAAAAGGACGGTAGGGACAGCATCTGCATTTTTTGCAAAGGCAAGAGCAACGTTTTTTAGTGCCATGAATCCCCAAGGTTCAGAGCAGGATGTCGAGTATTCAGTAGTGCAGCATGCAGATGGGGAAAAGTCAAATGTACTCCGCAAGCTGCTGAAGAGGGCGAACTCATATGAAGATGCCATGATGCCTTTTCCAGGAGCAACCATAATTTCCCAGCTGTTGAAAAATAACATGAACAAAAATGGTGGCACGGAGCCCAGTTTCCAAGCCAGCGGTCTCTCTAGTACAGGCTCAGAAGTACATCAGGAGGATGTATGCAGCAACTCTTCAAGAGACAGCCCCCAGGAGTGTCTTTCCCCTTTTGGCAGACCAACTATGAGCCAGTTTGATGTGGATCGGTTATGCGACGAGCACCTGAGAGCTAAACGCGCCCGGGTTGAGAATATAATTCGAGGTATGAGCCATTCCCCCAGTGTGGCATTAAGGGGCAATGAAAATGAAAGAGAAATAGCTCCGCAGTCCGTCAGTCCCCGAGAAAGTTACAGAGAAAACAAACGCAAGCAAAAGCTGCCACAACAGCAGCAGCAGAGTTTCCAGCAGCTGGTTTCGGCGAGGAAAGAGCAGAAGCGAGAGGAGCGCAGACAGCTGAAGCAGCAGCTGGAGGACATGCAGAAGCAGCTGCGCCAGCTGCAGGAGAAGTTCTACCAGATCTACGACAGCACCGACTCCGAAAATGATGAAGATGGCAACCTGTCTGAAGACAGCATGCGCTCCGAAACCATGGACGCAAGAGCTGGCGACTCTGTCGGCCGGTCGGACAATGAGATGTGCGAGCTGGACCCGGGGCAGTTCATCGACCGGGCACGGGCCCTCATCCGGGAGCAGGAGGTAGCGGAGAACAAGCCAAAAAGAGAAGGTCCTAAGGAGAAGGAGCAAGGGCCAAACGCCTTCCACCCCGAAGGCAAACACTTGGCTGAGACCCTCAAGCAGGAGCTGAACACTGCCATGTCACAAGTTGTGGACACAGTGGTCAAAGTTTTCTCATCCAAGCCCTCTCGCCAGCTTCCTCAGGTCTTCCCGCCCCTCCAGATCCCGCAGGCAAGATTCGCCGTCAACGGGGAGAACCACAACTTTCACACAGCCAACCAGCGCCTGCAGTGCTTTGGGGACGTCATCATTCCCAACCCCCTCGACACCTTCGGCAGCGTCCCCATGCCTGGCGCCACTGACCAAACCGAGGCGCTGCCCCTCGTCGTCCGCAAAAACTCCTCTGACCAATCTGCCTCGGCCCCGCCGGCCGGTGGCCACCACGCCTCCCTGCACCAGTCCCCGCTCTCGGCCACCGCCGGCTTCTCCACCTCCTCCTTCCGCCACCCGTTCCCGCTGCCCCTCATGGCCTACCCCTTCCAGAGCCCCCTGGGCGCCCCATCGGCCTCCTTCCCAGGGAAAGAGCGCGCCTCCCCCGAATCTCTCGACCTGACCCGGGAGACCACCAGCCTGAGGACCAAGATGTCATCACACCATATGAACCACCACCCCTGCTCGCCGGCCCACCCCCCCAGCGCCGCCGAGGGCCTCTCCTTGTCCCTCATTAAGTCCGAGTGTGGCGACCTGCAAGACATGTCCGAAATCTCGCCCTACTCGGGAAGTGCAATATCCTTTGCAAAAGATGAGTGATATTTGGCAGTGGCTGGTGGGAGAGGACGAGGGGCCATGCCGGTGCCAGGGGGGCTTCCCCCAGGTGCTGCAGGAGTGGGGTGCTCATGGGGTGCTGGGGGGTGGCTTGGTGAGGCCAAATAAAACATGTGGTGTTGACTGACAGCACTCTTTCAGCAATGGTGTTCACCTAAAAAAGCCACTGGCCCTCCCCCAGAATTTAGTCTGCCTCGTGGGGTCAGGAAGGCAGCCAAACCCATGACCTGAGTGCCAGTGGATTTCCCTGGGCTGTCAGATCTTTCCTCAGGCAGGGAGGTGACTGAGGGAGCATTGCCCTCGGCCAAAAACCATTCCAGCTACGGCCAGGCCACCTCTTTTCCCTCCCCTGCCAGGCCAATGCACAATCCATGTCAATGGTGTCGTGGCTGGGGCTCGCAGAGGGCCATGGTCTGGTCGTCTGTGAGAGTTCAGCTCTCAAGTGCGTAAGGGAAACGAAGCACAAAAGACACAGGTACTGATATATTCAGGCTGCATCAAGTTCTTTCCCCCACCCAGAGGTCTGTTCCTCAGCCCTTGTGCAGCTGCCTGCTATGCATGATTAACCTCTGTTCAGCCATACACAGAAATCTTTTGTCCTAACATACACAAAGCAAATTATTTTGGAAAGCTAGAGAGAACAATTAAATATAAAACTTCAGCTGTACTAAATTTACAGGACACTTCCCCTGCTTAAAAAAAAAAAAAAAAAAAAAAAAAAAAAAAAAAAAAAAGATAATAAAATCTCTCATTTTAGCTCAATAGCAGGCTTTAGTTAGGGCAACACATCCATCTCTGCTTTTATTTAGGTATATCCAGACATAGTAATTTTTTTTTCCCCTGGAAACTAATACTAGGTTTTTTTGGTTGTTTTTTCTTTTTTTTCTCTTTTAGCAGTAATGCCTCCCAGTCCTTCCATCTTTCTTCATAACGTGCTTTTTGGTCAAAAGGTTTTTCTTCCAGGTACAGTTGTATTGAAAGCAAATAAAATACCACATCTACCCCATGCTAAAATTTGAGGATTTTGCATGAAGAGTAGATAATTTTTCCCAGCTCCAAGACCCCGGCAAAAGGCAACAGCATAGGCACCGAGCCTTAGATGCATCTAATCTCACTCCTAAAATGATGAAAGTAATTGCAACAGAATAGCTCTGCCTTGCTCTGGGTAACAGTAGCAATGGTGAGGAACTTGTCCCCTTTGGAGAGGCATGCTGTGGAGGCAGATGCCCCAGGCTGTGCTTCTTCACTGGGTATCTTCTAGGTGATTGGTAACTCTGGTGGTTTTAGAATCATTTAACCACATCTTCTATAGACTTGTTAAATCCTCATGAGAGTGCTGTCAGGGCTCTAGACCTGCTGGTTATCTGGATTTCCTGCCCCTCCCATGGTAGAAGGCACCACTGGGACAAGGCAGGTGCTGCATCTCTAAAGCCCATTACCACCACTCTTTGAACCGACTTGGGTCTAGTCTGAGTCAGGATTTGTGCTGTTTAACCTGTGTGAATAGTCCCATTTGTGTAGGGGGAAGTGTTTTGTGTTGGAAAGCACGTTCTTTAGGTGCTGGTGTTTTTGAGAACCAACTGGTAGTGGATGTGGTGATTGAGGTACCTCTCCCCCAGAAAATGATCTTGTTAAGCATCGGTAGGGGGGATATCTCCTCACTGTCTACACTGTAAGGCAAAAGAGAGGAGGCAATCTAGATGAAGCATCACTCAGAGGTGGTGCCAATTACTTGGGGAGTTCCAAATCAAAGATCTCTTCTGCATATTTGAATGCAAGTGCAGTGCTTGGAAAGCAGACCTGAGGTCAACAGGAGAGGCAGCTGACTCAGGCCAGGGCAATTAATTTCTACCAAACTGTACAGTGGCATACTAATTGTTTTTGTATAAAAGTACTTCTCCCATCCTGGGATAGCAGTGAGGAGGGGCAAAACATGCCAAGAGTGTGAGCTAGGAGTAGTTCTAGGGCTGCACTTGATCCTCGCCACCCGTGGAGCATCTCTCCCCCACCCCTCCCACTTCTCCCCCTTTCTCCTGCTTGTTCTCACTGGTGCTCGTGCATGGAGCTTGTTGCTTCTGCTGAAACAGGGGTGCAAGAGTCCCCTGCTGCTCCAAGGGATAGCCAGGGGAAATGCCTGGAGCTACAGTAATCCCTTTTCTTTTTCACTGTCCTGCTTCTTTCCCTGCCGTCGGGAAATCACTCTGACTTTCCCACCTAGGCACTAGTGCACACTGCAGTTTGTTCTGGGTTTAGATACGGACCAGATTTATTTAATAACGCTTCTACACGTGTACCCTGCTATACAGGTCAGCTGTAGGGATGGATGTTTTTTTTCTAGCAGCAGTTCATGTGTCCAGGTAGCTTACAATTTTCTAGGGAAAGGTCTTGTGTGGAAAGGTGTTAGGGAGGTTGGTTTGTTTCTGATCAATTCTGTCGTGGCACTTTTATTTTACATGGTTGAACGTGCACGTATAGGGAATAAATTTCTTGAAAGAAGCAGATCTTTCTTCCCTGCAGAAAGTAACATCTGTTTTCCTGGACAATGCAGCCAGGATGAGAACATAAGACCAGCAGATACAGCCAAGTTCAGGTTTTAGTAGTAAGTTAAACACTAAACTAGCCTGGGTTCTGTTTCCTTGCTTTTTTTTTTTTTTTCTTTAACCAATGGCTGTAAAATGTAACTGATTATTCTTCGCTGAATTGCAGAAGGAAATGGTTAATGTTTGTGTATGTTGCTAAACAAGATAAGATGCACCTGCAGTCTGAATCCCCATCTTGGTCATGAATGCAGTCTGTATCTTTGCAAACTAATCTGTTTAATCAAATATTAAGTTTTATTCAAATTCAAAAAGAAACAGACAGTGAATTGTTTTTCTGCATGATCTTTCTTTGTCATGCATCCTCTTTGCATCTCAAGAAAAATAGCCTTGTTCAGTCACAAAACATTTGCATAGATCAAAATTGAAGCACAACAGCAGTTTGTGTGCTGTTAAGACATCTGCAAAGGTGAAGAAGTTTAGCATGTTCCTCCTGGCAGGAGGGCTTAGAAACATTAGTGCAACTTACTACAATTTTATTTATTTTTAAACAAAATTCCAATCCAACTGGAATAAGTTTCAAAGTCCCAATATGCAAAAGCTGTAATTAGTGAATTACAACATTTTGAAATGAGGAGTTATTACATCTGCCTAGAATTAAACTAATTAAACTTAAAAAAAAAAATGAGAGATTGTACAGCAAGCTGGATAACTCCGTGTTGTTGATAAAACCTGGGCGATGAACAAATGCTTTGCAGCCAGCACTTCTTTGGAGAGACTTGAAGATTGCTCTGAGATGCAGTTATTTGGAGCTTTGCTGATTAAAAGTACCTGAAGTATAATTTTAGGAGCAGCTTGTCTTTATGGCTGCAGATTTTTTTTTTTTACCTGATACAGCCTATTCTTACCATTTTTCCTTCAGCTCAAGGCATGCGTGGGCTAGAAAAGCCTGTTAGAGCATTTGTGGGGGCTCAGGCTGAGAGTAACAGGAGTGAAAGATCATCTCTGCTGAAAAATATTTTTGCAAAAGAGGAGCATTACCTGGGAGGAGGGTTGAAGTGCAAATGAATCAAATGCTGTGCAGTGCCACCCCTGTGCCTCTCCTGTTAAAACACGCGAGAGCGTGTGTGTGTTTTGTCCCCATATGTTTTGTTCCCAGTCTTTCACTTCCTATTTCTTAGGGCTTTGTCGTTTTTCTGCTGCTGCTGCTGTGTTAGGTGAGGCAACGTTGTACTGTGTAAATCCACAACGCTGAGACTCTCAGGTTGTTTGAACACTGCTTTAGGTTCAGCTGCAGTACACTGTTCCTCTGATCTTTTATGTTCCTGAGCAGATGTCTTTCATTAATTTATGGATTTATCATCTTTTCTTTCTCTCCTTTTTTTTTCCCTTTCCTTTTTTTTTTTTTTTTTTACACCTGGCAGCTGGCTCAAGTTTCAGCAGTTATTGTCTATTTTGCATTACCCATAGAATTGAATGTCATCTGTCTTCACAAAGCTATAGCTAAGAGAATTGAGGCAAGCCACACGAGCTGCTGGGACAGAGCTTGTTTGCGTTCCATTCGGCACCCCTCCTCCCTTTACCTCCTTAATATTTATTTGTGCTCGTTTTCTTTCCTGGCCTTGAATGGGGCTTAGCTCGTGTTCGGTACAGCTGTATGTTTACTGAATCTATTTCATCATGAGTCATTGTGCGTGTGTAAGTATCCTGGAAACAGCTAGTGCTTTCTTGGAAGAACAGTTGCTTTTCAGCCCAGGCACTTAAAAAGGAAATTAAGCAATTGGTCAGTTCAGTTGTTTTGTTTTGTTTTTTTTTTCTGAAATAGCAATAGGTTATCTAATTCTTAGCTCTTAAGTCTGTCATTAACTATTTTTTGCTAGATTATTAGTGATCATATCTTTTATCACAGTAAAGCGTTAACCTTAGGATCAAGATATACAGATTTGTTGCATATTTGATATTGCTTTAAGGCTGCCAAGTGCTTAAGAACAAGTATAATTTTAATAAAAAATGGATTTCTGGGAATTTGAGTCTCAGAGCATCTTTTAATACATGTTTCATTCAATATCAATATCCTCTGGCATTAGAGCAGAAAATATTTAAAAATCCTAAATGCAGAAGGAATCCAAATGCTTAGACAACTGTCTAATATGCTTAAATCTAGCAAATATGAGAGGGGTTTTTTTTAAGTTTAAGTCCATCCTTGAGCTTGCACTGAAAGAGAATATACACCAAACCCGATGTTAGTATGTTGTCGGCGTCAGAGGAATTGCAAATTAAGGAGACTCGGGATTACTTTTTTTTTCTCCTACTGGAGTTCCCCTTTGGACCCCCACTTTCCTGAAAGGATCGCATAACAAAATGGATTTCTGGCATAGAAGTTTTGATTTGTCTAAAACTCTTATCACTAAGCAATAGGTGACAGCTTGCTACTATTATTTCACTTACGTATTTTGACAGATGGCACTGCAGAGTGTAATGCTCTTTTAGACTTCTCTATCAGTCTAATGGAGGTAACTGGAGGTTCTTTCAACTCTTCTCTTGGCACAAGAAGTATGTCAGTCATAAATTATCTTCTTTGTAATCATTAAGCATCTAAAACAAAATGCAAGTTCAGCTGAGCCATTTTCCATGTACTTCCAGATAATAAGAGGTTTTTAAACTAATATTGTCAATGCCTTTTTTTTTTTAAATGCTACATTTTTTCTAATCTAAAAATGAACATTGTAACTGAAATAAAGGGAGAGGGTTTCAGCAGATTTCAGGAATTAGAGAAAAAGGAATTTTGCTGAAAAAGCCTAGCTAATCATCAGTAGGCTGCTGATAAAAATTAGTCTGGGTTTCCCGTCTCTAGGCCTGGAGTGGGATGTGGTTCTGTGCTGATGTGCACCCGGCTGTAAGTCAGAAGAGCCACCTTGGCTGCAGTGCATCTGTCAACTTCGTTGACCTCCCCGCCCGTAAGGTGTGAACCGAGTGAAATTTTCAACAATTGTGTTTAGGAGAAACAGTCCTTAGAGAAGCTTCTGGGAAGAACCCTTAATTGACCTTGTGGGGGCCACATTGATTTTCTCCACGTGCATCTTCATTTCTGATAAATTATAAAGCCATTAATTTGCTGAGGAAATGGCAGGGCCAGCCTGCGGCGCAGATGTGACCAGAGCCGTCCTAGCACGCAGTTCACAAAAGGAAGCCAAGAAGCTGGGAGAAAAATCAGCAAGCTGAGATTGTTATGGTTAGCTTCACATTCCCTTGGGAACTCTTTTAGTTGCTTCTGTTTACAGATCTAAAAGGTAATGATGTTTCCAGGATAAATAGGCTGCCTTATAGGGTAAGTGGCCATTTATTGATCTGCTAGCCCACATGTATTGATTGGTTAGCCCTAAATACAGCTCTGTTCTCCAAGGAGTTAACTGTGTAAATCAGGAGGCGACAAGTTTGTGGCAGAGGGATTCAGTGGCCAAGGGGCTCTGCCTGATACAAATTTCACTTTGATTTGCAGGGCAGTCACAGGAGCAAAGCAACAGCAGGACTAGAGAGAGCTACCCAAGATGTTAAAATTTATTAACATAAATGGAACAGGTGAAATGTGCTGCCGGTGTAGAACTGCTTGAAATCATGAAGTGCCTCTGATTGTCTTACTTGCATTGGTTTTATTGTGTTCAAGCAGCACAACACCGAGAGGAAAAGAAACTTTAGCTGGCATTGGCAAAGGAGAAAAAAGCTCCCGATAAGTTTTCTGTGGCACATGCTTCCTGCATTTGTTTCCGTAGCAACAAGTGAACGTACATATGGTACACAATCGGTAAACTTGCAAGGTCCCTGAGACCCAGCACCTAAACTGATAAGAGTTTAAGTTACATGGCTTCTCATCCCATGTTTGCCTGTTTTACAGAAAATTACAGCGCAGCAGTTGAAATGCTAATACTTTCTCCTGTAGTCTGGGGAACCGTAGAGTATTTTACGGGGAGCTTTGCTAGCTCTGTACATTCAGAAACAGCTTTCTCAAGAAAAGAATTTTCCTTTACTAATTCAATCCTACATGCAGGAAGGCTTGTCACCGAATCACTTGAAAAAGGCCAAGCTCATGTTCTTTTACACCCGGTACCCAAGTTCCAATATGCTGAAAACTTACTTCTCAGATGTAAAGGTAAGAAAATCTCCTCCCCTGCCTCTTTCTCCTTACTGCATGCTGTATTTTCTCACAAAATGATATTATCATGTTAGAGATTAATAATATTTCTGGGTGAATAAAGGTTACATCCTGACCTTAGTCAGTTGTTCTTCCTCTTGAGGTGTACCCTGCCTGTGCCTGGATGAGGAAAGGGAAAGTTTCTAAATCTAATTTAAAAAAATAAAAAAAAAAAATCGAAATTTTTGAGCAAAGTAAGGATCATTATTACAGTAAATTAAAGGATCTTTATTATATATCCTATTTAAAAAGGAGATTTTTGTGGTGGTAGAAATGTACTTCCAAGAACATTTTGGAGCAGTTCTCAAGTGCTCCCTCATTGTTTCATTTCGGTTGGTTTCCTCATATTTGTGCTTACATAAGCAGAGTGTAGAATCCCTTTCTTTCCGTCAAAAAGAAATAGTACATTGAAATTCTCCATGCAGAAGCTGCTTAAAAACAAAAGTGATGATTGTCTCTTATTTACAACTTAATTTGTTGTTGATGCAGAGTACACTGAGCATAAGGAGGATGAATAAAGTGACAGATTCAGGCCACATTATTCAAATGAGGATATGAAAGCTGTCGACATACAGCTGCATCCTCCCTCATTCTACAGAATATTAGGACCTCCTGATTTTTTTTCTAAAAGTAATTGTTCCTTCACATCAACTTGATTTTGTGTTAATAATCTAAGTTTTTTTTTAAAAAAACACATAGATTGTGTTTTAATTATTATAATAGGATGCATGGTGTCATTATCCAAGTAACTTTATAAACATTACATTAGTTTAAATTAGTTTGTTACGTATTGGTCGTCCCCCCCACCCCCGCATGTCCCGCCCCAAACAAATTAGAGAAATCCTTCTTTTAATTACTTTTGGGTTATGGGTTTTTTTTCAGTCTTAGTGGAAGATTATCCCACAGGTTGTGAACTTGGCCCAGTTTCTGCTGATCAGTTTTCTTTGGTCAAGTTTCTTGGCAGTTTCTCCCTTTATTTTTTTTCATTTAATGTTGCTTTCACATCTCAATACGCTCCTGCTCCTCACAGCCGTGTCCTTGGAGGTTCCTCTATTCAATGCCATGTGCTGAGCGGATGGTGACAACATTTATAAAAAGGAGGGGGGGAAGCAATACAGGCACTTCCTAGGCTAAATGACTGGTCAAGAATCATTAAACACACACAAAAAAAGCTGCAAATGGAGCAGCGGGCCAAGTGGAGGGTTTGCTCTCAGAGTGGATCCACCTGGAATGGCAAAATCGGAGGGAGCATTTCAGGCAACACTGCTCCGATGAGGTGCCACAGGCAGATGTAGAGCTGGCAGTGCTGCTCAGGAGGGTCTGCTCTGGGGCTGCCCTGTGACTTTGCCCTGTGAGTTCACACAGCCAGGTGTGCTGAAGCAGGGATATTTTTTTCACTGGTGTTTCTGCTTTATTTCCACTTTTTTAAGAAGATGCGTACTTGTG